CGAGAGCCTGCCTCCGGAGCTGGAACACACAGACGCTCAGCGGCCTCAGGGAAGGGCGCCCGAGGTGGTGCCCGGACCTGCCTCTGGGGACAGCCTGGGTTCAGAGGGCCACGCGGTCTCCATGCACTTGTCTGTCGAGTCCCTCCCGAGCCGCCCCTCACCTCCGGGCCTGGGCCCCCACGACGATGGGGGCGTGCACGGGGGCGAAGGGCAGCTCCTGCAACTGCTCGGCGACACAGGTTCCCGGGACCACGGGCGTGGGGCTCAGGTCAGCTTCCAGGTGCGCGATCCCGCCCTCCAGGGGGAGCTCCTGCCGACAGGACGAGGCAGGTCAGGCCCAGGAGGCTCGGTCTAGGGGCCCATCCCCGAGCGGCTGCCCCGCGGGAGCATCAGCAGATAGAAACACAGGAGGCTCAGCGACCTTTAACCTCAGGCGGACAATGAGGAACTGTAGTGCGTGTCCCGTGGAACATCTGGGACAGGCTTAGACCACAAAGTTATGTTTTATCTGGAGTTCGAATTTATCGGGGCGTCCTGTATTCTGTGTGAGGGGAAAGGCAGCGAGGCAGGAATCGCCGATTTTATGAACTCAGTGTCCTGGGAGAGACGTGCTGCCCGAGAAGGCTCGTTCACACCAAACCGCGTTTACGGGCAAGACACGCAACCTCCTTCAACACGGGCCTGGCCGGTGCACAGACACGTTCCCGTCCCCACGCCACTCGCACCGCCGGCCACTTCCCTCCTGAGCACGACGCCTGTCCAAGGGAAAGGCCTGCGGGACCCAGGACGCCCTCCGCCAAGCCTGCTCCCAGGCAGTCAGTCAGTCTCAGTTCAGAGGGACACCATGTGCCCCAGACAACCGTGACCCCGGCCCCGCCCTGTGCTTAGAACAGGGCACCACGCCTTCACACAGGTAATTACACAGACTGTTTTCCTCACAGACTTGCAGGCAAGACTGGGACACAGTGTGCAGGGGAACCGGCCACTTTGAGAGCCAACTCCGTGTGGGTCCCCAGGTGACACGGGGTGAAAGGACAGGGCTCTTCTAGGCCATGGCTGTGGCAGGCGGGCGGGCGGG